CAGGGCCACTGGTGTTATAGTCAAATGACCAGATATAAATTTTTTCTTTTAAATATATTGTAGAAATTTATTGAAGGCAAATAAGCAAAACAGCGCGCTGGAAGACCCGGGGAAACTCCTGTTCCACCAACGGTCTTCCCGCCAAAAACGTGCCATGATCTTTTATATGTGCCGCTATTCCCTCCCCTTTAGGCGGCGCCTGGATGCCGGGTGGCAGGTCCCAGATGGAGGTGGTCCTCAGATGGCAGCGGCTGCTCTCGGAACGGGGCGAGTGGCTCCTCCCTCGGGCCGGCTCCTCCCTCGGGCAGCTTGCTGCCACGGCTGTTCCGCCGCTCCTCGCTCGGCTGCAACAGGCTGTGCCGCTCGGCTATGCCCCTTTATCCATATCTTTATAGGCTCATTTAAAGCTTACATTCAGAACTTGTTTAACATAGTAAGATATAGCTTTCCATAGTAACATAACATTGTGGTTTGACATTTGTAATTCAAACTAACCACTAACACTAACATTGCAAAGATAATTTGATTAGCAAATTATTTATCTTTGCCTTTATTAACTATTTCAATTCCCCCCTTCTTTTATTTATCAGTAATTTGCTTATCAAATTTTATTATAACTTTTCAGACTACCTATAAGATAATTCTTATCATTGTAACTGAAAAACTAGGGGGGGGTCCTGCTGATATAGAACTTTAATACCTGGAACTTTATTTGCTTTGTAAACTGTAATCTAATTTTCAGTCTTATTGCGGTGGTATAGGCTAGTGGCAAGTTTGTTTTCGCAGAGTTAGTTGTCTCCACAATTGTACCTCTCTGCCTCCTTCGTCTACTCCTTTGCAGGGAGCAACGAGGTATTAGCTCTTCTCGGCAGCAGTGGTATTCTTCAGGAGTTCTGCTTTTATGCTCACTTAGCCTTCTCACTGTGGTTTTAGAATCATGTTATTTATTTAGAATCTCATTTCAGGTTTTACTTTATCAATTAATTATTTTGGGGTTCGCTCCCAAGCAATTTTGGTAGCATGTTGTTTTATAATGTTATGTCAGTTTTCCTTGTATATTTCCTAGGTTTCAGGTATTAATAATTCTCATTTGCAGAGTAATTTATAAATTTTCACACTAGTTCTTCTTACAACTAAGTGATGATTTCTACAGTCCATACAATGAGTATGACGTAAAGTTGAAGTACAATACCATTTCTTATCATACTGTATGCATTTACAAGTCACTCACTCCACATGCCCGAAGTGAGATACTTTATGTAAGGTATACCCTGAAGTTTCCTCCAAGGTTCAGGTATTTCAGTTGTTAATTTACATATTTCAGCTTCTCTCGTCTGATAGGGTATCCGTTCATTATTACACCATGATGCCATATTTACCCTTTAAAGAGTGTCCCCAGGGGTAGTTGGAACCACTGGTATAAGTCAGTTTTTATTTTCTCCTCGTAAGGGTTCATTTACCAGTCCTGTTCTTCTGATTTTCATTTGAAGATCTCCTGGTTTGGATGTTATAATCCACTTTGGGGAAGATAATTCTACCGGTCCTTTAACTCTCGATGCATGAGTCCAGCCTTTTTCAGTAGTACGAATTGCTGTATCTGTGGTAAGAAGAACAATAAAGGGCCCTTCCCAACAAGGGGTTAATGAGGATTCTTTCCAGGTCTTTATTAATACCTGATCTCCAGGTTGAATTCTATGTATTGCTATATCTAAAGGGGGTCTCTGAGCTACTAATCCTTTTAACTCCTGTCTTCTCTTCATTAATTCAATTATATATTCTCTTAGAAAAGTATCCTCTATTTTTGGATGTTCTAGAGGGCTACCAAAATCATATGGCATCCCATATATCATTTCGAATGGTGAAATTCCTGTATCAGTACGCGGTTGGGTCCGAATATGCAATAGAGCTAATGGTAAACATTTTACCCAACTCATTTTAGTTTCCATCATCAATTTAGTTAAGTGTTTTTTAGTTCTCCATTCATCCTTTCAACTTTACCAGAACTTTGCGGATGCCAAGGTGTATGATATTCCCACTTAGTTCCAAAAAGCTCCATTGTTTCTTTAATTATTCTTGAGGTAAAATGTGGTCCCCTATCTGAATCTATGATAGTTACAATACCGTATCTCGGAATTATTTCTTCTAATAAGATCTTGATTACTGTTTTGGCCGTACATCGTGTTACAGGAAAAGCTTCTACAAAATGAGTCTTTTATTTACTTCTCTCAAATTTTGTACTAATCGATAAGTTCCATCAGGTTTTCTTACTGGTAAAATAGGGGTATTATGTGGTGACATACAAGGCTCCAATAGTCCCTGTGTGATAAGTCTTTCTATAAAAGGTTTTAATCCCATCTTTCCTTCATAGGAAATAGGATATTGTTTTGCTCTTATTGGTTCCTCAGGATTTTGAATATCAACTTCAAATGGTTTTATATTTAGTTTTCCCACAGAGTCTGGAGTATACCAGACTTCAGGGTTTATCTTTTCCATATCTTCAACTGTAAGGGTATATAACTTAATTTGTAACCCATGTTCTTTTGTTTCCAAGCCTATTCCTAATTCAATCATTAAATTTTTCCAATAAATTATATTCTGCTTCAGGGACTAACAAGAATGATCCTACAGTATACTTCTTAGGAGTCTCTATTTTTACATTTTCAATAAGGGGTACCTTAAATGATTCTCCTTTTGCCCCTGTAACTTGTACTGAATCTAGGATTCTACACAGCCCCAAGGTACCTTCTGAACAGTCAATCTCTCTGCTCCAGAGTCTACTAAGAATTCAATCGCTTGTTGCTGGGGACCTAATTTTAGTTTTATCAAGGGTTCTGTATTTGTCCTGGTCCCCAGCAAATAGAGTCCCTGATACCCCTAATCCTCTTGAAATACTTGCTCATCCAGTATACGCTTCCTGCAATGTCTTTTTATATGTCCTTTCTTGTGGCAGTAATAGCATTCTGCTTCTGTCTGACCTGTCTGTTTTTGATTATTTGGGATTGTTTGTCAGACTCACGAGGGGTCCCACGTCTCTGTTTGTAATCCTCTTTTCGTCCCTCCCTCACTGTTGTCATAAAAATCTTTGCTTGTTTCCTCTGACTTTCCTCATCCCTTCGTACATATACCTTTTGAGTCTCTCAATAATTCATCTAACCCTCGCTCTTGCCAATCCTCAATTTTTTCCAACTTCTTTCTAATATTTTCCCATGATTTTGTTACAAACTGTGTTTTGAGTAAAGCTTGTCCTATTGGAGTATCGGGGTCTAGACCGGAATAGAGCTGTAAGCTCTTTCTTAACTTTTCCAACCAATTGGTAGGGGTCTCATCCTTTTTTTTTTTTGTTGTTCTCTAAATGCCTTATTAATATTTTGACTCCTAGGAACTGTAATAAGCTATATTTTAGAGGGGATTCTTTTTTGTTAAACTTAGTAAAACTTCAGGACATTGATATGTGATTTCCCTGTGTATTTCCTACATATCTGTTAACTACCTCTAACAAGCTGGCGTTTGTTCTCGAGGCTGATAAGAAAGGGGGGAGGGAAGTCTGGCACTGTAATCAAACTGCACCAGCTGGGGATACTGAGGAGCTTCCTCTAAGCAAGAAGTCAAAGTGATTTATATAGACGATAAGACTGGAAGGGGAGGAAAAATACCTACTAAAGGCGCATGCTCCAAGCCGGGTTCATCTTGCGGACATCGAGGAAGACTAAAAATCTTCATCACAGAGACCCCGGCCCACAAAGAAACCCCCAGACCACGGACGCCGGTAACACAGCCCAGGAACATGCATGGGGAAAACTTTGCAACTGAGCATGTGCAAAAAGCACATGCCCCGGACTATGTATGGATAAGAACCTATGTACTGAGCATGTCTGGATGGCCAACCGGGGGGTTCAAAAGGGGAAGTTTGAGAGCCTGAGGGGGGGCGGCGGCGGCGAGCTGTGAGAGAACTTTCTTTTGTTCTAAACAGCCCCCCCCCTCCCGGCGCGCCGATTGTTTATCTACCGCTTACTATGATTGCTCGTAAATCAGACATATGATTCCTATGGGCTGGGTCCTGGTTATCCCAGTTGGGCCTCTGAAGGGGCCACTTTATGTCTGCAGCTGGTCCTTGTTGATACCTTTGGTTCCAGTTTCTCATCCCTGCCCTTCTGATCATTTCCCGCTCCTCAGCTGCAAATAATATTCCTAATATTGCTTGTATTTCATCCCATGTGTATATATTAGGACCCAAAAATTGATTAAACTTCTCAGCTACACCTAGGGGTCTTCTAATAAGTTCCCCATTTCCTTTTTAAATTCTCTTACATCCCCTGAATTTAAGGGGACCGACACGAATCCTATCCCTTGTTAGCAATTTCCCTTAAAGGGTATAGCCGCATTTGCTCAGTAACCGGGAGTGTGGATGGAGAAGAGAGTTCTGGTACCGCGGCAGGGGAAGGGAAGCCATCTAACCGCGGAGCAGAAGGCACGGCTGATAGTTCCCGCGCGGTGACAGGGGCGGGACAAAACGGCAAGTTCCCCGCCTCAGCAGAGGGGGCGGGGTAATGGCCATGTTCCCGCGCGGCGGCAGAGACGGGACAAGACAGCAAGTTCCCAAACAGGGTTCTAGTGTCTGACCTAATCCATATGCTAGCGTATTCGCTCTCTTCTGCACAGAAGGGTTCCTTACTATTAACATAAATGTTCAGAGCCTGACACATCCAATCCTCAAATGCGCCATAGACTGGCCAATATAAATAGTCTCGCCTTATCTGCTTTCCCCCCCAGACTTCCATACAATAATGTACCATTTTTTCCCTTGACTTCCCTCCTCCAGAGGGGTAATCATTCCAGTATCTTATCATTATTCCCAAGGGACTATTCAGGGGTATTTCAGGCAATTCCACCTCAGAATTACCCATGGGAGCAAAAATTCTACTTATTATTTGTCCCATCTTCCGGAGTGCCTACACACACACACACACACACACACTTCACTCGCTTTCCCTCTTTCACAGCCCGGACTCTCCTGGATACGGGAAACCCACTACCAGAGGGTCCGCACTCGCTTTGTCCCGACGGACGTCTCAGTTATTCGCACTCCGGGACCCCCTCCCAAACCGAAAGGGGGATCCGCAAAATACTTACCTCTCCCTGGGTAAGTCTTCGTTCAGCTCCTAGCCAAACGGTCCCTTCCCCAACCGGACGGCACCCACTATTATACTTACTACTCCTGAGTAAGCCTTCGCTTGACTTAAGTCGAGCGGCCCCACCCGACTGCAAGTCGGGCGGGTTCCTTAATCACTCGCTCTCTCCCTGAGCAAGTCTTCGTCCGGAGTTCGTGCACGAAAATTATGGGGAACTGCAGTAGTTTATTTGCTTAATTGCCTTCAAAATTTCGGTCGAATATTTGGAATCTGTGTTGCGGGAGTCTCCCCTGAGCCGTCCAACAGGGACGGGGGCGCCCTCTCAGAGAGAGAGAATCCCACCACACAGGGATCCAAATCCGAGGCACAGCACCAAATTGTTATAGTCAAATGACCAGATATAAATTTTTTCTTTTAAATATATTGTAGAAATTTATTGAAGGCAAATAAGCAAAACAGCGCGCTGGAAGACCCGGGGAAACTCCTGTTCCACCAACGGTCTTCCCGCCAAAAACGTGCCATGATCTTTTATATGTGCCGCTATTCCCTCCCCTTTAGGCGGCGCCTGGATGCCGGGTGGCAGGTCCCAGATGGAGGTGGTCCTCAGATGGCAGCGGCTGCTCTCGGAGCGGGCGAGTGGCTCCTCCCTCGGGCCGGCTCCTCCCTCGGGCAGCTTGCTGCCACGGCTGCTCCGCCGCTCCTCGCTCGGCTGCAACAGGCTGTGCCGCTCGGCTATGCCCCTTTATCCATATCTTTATAGGCTCATTTAAAGCTTACAGTCAGAACTTGTTTAACATAGTAAGATATAGCTTTCCATATAACATAACATTGTGGTTTGACATTTGTAATTCAAACTAACCACTAACACTAACATTGCAAAGATAATTTGATTAGCAAATTATTTATCTTTGCCTTTATTAACTATTTCACTGGGGAAGGTATCCCACCTTCTGTTGCTTCAATTGCAGTAAGGATCTCTGTGCACACCCCCATGGCTTGGTGGATCCATCAGGCTCCCACCACCACCAAGCTCTCCCCATCAATAGGCTGTAAGAAACCACTGGTGTCCCTGCAGCTTGTTATGCTTTAACTCCAGCCAATAACCAAGCCCCATGCAGCCGCTCACTGATTTCCCTACCAGCAGAATCAGGGGGAGAATCAGAAGAGTAAAAACTAGAAAAGTCATGGATTGAGATAGACAGTTTAATAGGGAAAGCAAAAGCAAAGCAAGGGATTCTTTCACTACTTCTTATGGGTAGGCAGGTGTTCAGCCATCTCCATGAGAGCAGGGCCCCATCACGTGTAACAGTTACTTGGGAAGACAAATGCCATCACTTCGAACATTCCCCCCTTCTTGCCCTCCTTTATATGCTGAGCACGATGTCATATGGTATGGAATATCCCTTTGGTCAGTTTGGGTCACCCATCCTGGTTGTGTCTCCTCCCAACCTCCCATGCATCCCCATCCCCCTTTGCCAGCATGGCAGTATGAAAAGTAGAAAAGGCCTTGTCTCTGTGTAAGCCCTTCTCAGCATTAACAAAAACATCTCTATATTATCAACCTTGTGTTCAGCACAAATCCAAAACAGAGCCACACACCAGTCACTGGGAAGAAAATTAACTCTACCCCATCCAAAACCAGCACAGGGTCTTCCCTGCCACCCTTTCCCAGATACGGTGGTGGTGGCAGACCAGCAATGCCCACCCCCATGGCATGGGGTGGGTGGGCTGGCAGGTGGCCCAAAACTCTCACATCTGGGCTCCTTCCCAGCAGATTACCCATCTCTGCTTCACAGTTTTGGTGGTGGGAAGGAACTAGCAGTCACTGTCTGTCTTCTACCTCGCCTCAGCCCCTTCCCCCCTCGTTTATAAAGAGGAGGAGTGATAGGGTTTTGGCCGAGGGACGCTCTCCGCCGTCCGTCTCTCAGGGACGGGGCCGGATGACGCAAGCCCCCATGCCGAGCCTCATAGAGAGCACACAGCACATAGAGAGTCGGGTAACAAAAAGGGTTTTTCCAACCTTCCTGCGGCTTATAAGGCTGTTTGAGGGGAAGGGAGGGGCTTGGCCGCTCGGCTAGCCAACGGGAGGAGACGGGAGATCAACACCCAACAGGAACCCAGAGACTGGGGAGAGACAGGTGAGACAACCAATGGGGTTAGGACAGGGGCGGGAGCTGGCTCAGTGGGCAGAACAATATGGAGCTGCCCAGGGAAGCCACGGGGATATCGAGTGAGGGGGGTTTAAACAGTAAAGGGGGATTCCGTACAATAAATTCGTGATTCTTGAGCTAAAACTGTAAATTTTTTCTGTGTTCCTTGACTTCGGGGAGCTGTAGCTTTGGTGATTTTTCCTCTAAAGATGTTCCTTCCAAGATTTGTAATCCGTGCTGTCTCCCACAGAGGAGGAGGAGCAGTCCCAGCATTGGCAGGGGGTGGCAGTGGGGAGAGAGGGAGGGAAAACTCTTTTGTTTGTTCAACTAATTTATGCCTCAGATGTTTAAAAAAAAGAAAGAAAAAATAAAAAAAAAAAACTTGATCAGCACTTGTAAAGGTGTGCTTCTGGCACATAAAAATATACCAATAGCAGAGGGAACAGAGCACAACAAAGAAGTGTGGATTTAAACATTTGGGTTTTGTTTCTTAGGTTTGTCAGGAGAGATGTGAATCTTAAAAAAAAACCAAAAACCAATGAAACAAAAGAATCAAACCCAATAACCAGATATCATTGGATCGGACATCTCTTCAATATGCCAGCTGGGGATTCATGGGGATAGAATTACCACATATGAATCAAAAAATCAGCACAAATTTTGGAATATAAATACAGTGATACCTGAAAGACCCCCACTTTACACCCAACCCCTGATAATGTCATGATTTTGGGGTCAAATATAATCTTGGAGTTTATTTGTGGAGCAAGATTGCCATCTAGCATACCTTTCTCCTGGGGGGGCAGTCATCTTCACAGTCTTCTTTATATTTTGGCAGGCTTCCTAACATCTATGATTGATCCAGCTGTATGTGGAGCAAAAAGGGGGGAGGGGGAACACAGTATTGCTATTACATTAAAATTGATGCTCAGTGCTTTGTCAGGTTTTGGAAAGGCTTTTTGCTTTGAAAGCTGTTCAGAGGGGATCAGAGCAGATGGCAAGGAGATCCTGTTTATGTTATTTTGACCATTCACATTGAAAGTCTCAGATTGTTGCCCTTTTCACCCCCTTGCCCCACTCATGTATGTTTTTCTTTCTTACTTCCTTTCCCTTTTCCTTCTTGAGAACTTTTTTTTTTTTAAGCATATATTATTAATAATACAACATCACCTAAAAGCTGGGTGTGTTTCTGATGAACCAAGCTGTGGATAGTTTATTTCTGTCTGCCTAGATTTGAAAAAAGTATCTGGGGGGGGACTGTCTCCTCCTGAAGCAGCATGAGTGGCATTAGGAGAGTGAGTTGGGTAGGGATGGGAAGCCAGACTGCCATTTTGATGGGTTCAGCTCAAGAGCAGCACATTTCCCTGGTAGATCAGCAGCTGTATTAAGCCCAGGCAACATGCTTAGATTGAGGGTCTCTGATAAAACAACTTTAGTGACTTGCATGACATATGCTCGTGACCTCCATCATTGTGGTGGAGAGGAGTGGCTGTAGATAGACTGGAAAACTGAACTATGCCCTGGCTCTTCATAGTGGTCTTCCCATATAACTGGTGAGATTCATTGGTCTTAAGCAACCTGGAAGGCTTTTGTTCTGCCATAACCTGTGCCCAGATTGTGCTAGGAAGAGAGAACTTCATTGCCTTACATTCCTGATATAAGCAGTTTCCCCGAGCAGTAATTTAGCTTCATATAACACTGCTGGAAATGTCTGCCTTGCTTTTAATGTAGAAGTCTTCACCAAAGCCTCTTCACAACCTTTGTGCAGGCAATCCAGCAAAGCTGAGCTCAGTTTAATCAGTTAAAACTAATAGCCCAGGTCTATCAGCAAGGATGTGCACACAGAAAGATGATGGAAGGTCTTGGCTGCAGTTGGCATCCAAAACTTCGGGTGATTCATCCAAAGCTCCTCCAGATGATTAAATCCCTTAAACTAAGCTGGAAATCTTGGGAAAACAAGCTTTCTCATGCTTGTTCTGTCAGTGGTTATTCCCAGCTAGAAGCAGATATTTAAATCCTGGAATCTTTATATCAGATGATAATAGAGGTGCTTTTGCACAAGAAAATGGTCTACAAGTACATTAAGCTTTGGCCCAGAAGATTGAGCAAATGAACTTTACACGTTTCAGTTTAACTACTCCAATCCCTTAAGATGGTTTAGGGCAGGTTTTGTTTGAGTTTGAGGTGAAGATTCATGTTGGATTTTTGATTGCTTGAACAGAATCACAGAATCAAAAAATATGCCAAGTTGGAAGGAACCCAAAAGGATCATTGAGTCCAACTCCTGGTCCTGCACAGGACCCACCCCAAGAGTCACACCATGTGCCTGAGAGTATTGTCCAAACGCTTCTTGAACTCTGTCAGGCTTGGTGCTGTGACCACTTCCCTGGGGAGCCTGTTCCAGTGCCCAACCACCCTCTGGGTGAAGAACCTTTTTCTAATATCTAACCTAAACCTCCCCTGATACAACTTCAGGTGTCACTGCGAGAGGGTACGGAGAAACTACACGCAGACCAATATGATCAAGAGGCAGAATCCCGTTTATTATGCGTTACAGTTTCCATTATATACTTTTCTTACACATACATGTTCTTACACGATTGGTTGGAAATAGTTAAACACACTTTTCAGCACTTAGTACTTGCTATCCTGTGATTGGCTCATATGTAGTTGTCCAGGCACATCTTCTTGCCTTTTCTCCCTGCACTTTCTCTCTGCCCTTTTTCTCCGCCTGTTTCTCTTTGCTGCTATCTCACAGTTAGCATTCTTGCAGGCTGACATCAGTGCCAATACTTTTCCTGAGGTAAAGTCCTTGGTTGATTCAGGCTTAAGGCCCACTAACAGCTTGTCCACAGCCTGCTCTTTAGACAGGTATCCCACATTCAGGCCATTCCCTCTGGTCCTGTCACTGGTCACCACAGAGAAGAGATTAGTGTCTGCCCCTCTTCTTCCCCTCACAAGGAAGTTGTAGACTGCAGTGATGTCTGCCCTCAGTTTCATCTTCTCCAGGCTGAACAGACCAAGTGACCTCAGCTGCTGCTCATAGGGCTTCCTCTCAAGGCCCTTCACCATCTTCGTTGCCCTCCCTTAGAGGCTCTCTAATAGTTTAATATCTTATATTGCAGTGACCAAAGCTGCACACAAATTCAATGTGAGGCCACACCAATGCAGAGCAGAGCGGGACAATCACCTCCCTCAACCAGCTGGTGATACTTTGCCTGATGCCCCTCAGGACATGGTTGGCCCTCCTGGCTGCCACACTCACACTCAGCTTGCTGTCGACCAGGATCCCCAGGTCATTCCCCAGTCTGTACGTACATCCAGGGTTGCCCCATCCCAGGTACAGAATCCTGCACTTGACCTTGTTGAACTTCATCTGGTTGGTGATTGCCCATCTCTCTAATTTTTCAAGGTCTCTCTGCAGGGCCTCCAGGCTTTCAAGGGGGTCAACAGCTCCTCCCAGTTTTGTATCAACTGCAAATTTGCCTAGGTATCTCTTCCAGTCCTGTGTGCAAGCCATTTATGAAGATGTTGAAGAGAACAGGACCTAAGATGGAGCCCTGCAGAACCCCACTAGTGACAGGTCACCAGTCTGATGTTACCCCTTTCACTATTACCCTTTGTGCTCAACCCATGAGCCAATTGCTCACCCACTGCATGATGTGTTTTTCCAGCTGTGTGCTAGACATTTGGTCCAGAAGGATCCTGTGAGAGACAGTACCAAAAGCTTTACTGAAATCCAAAAAGATGACATCAACTGGCTTCCCTTGATTAACTATGTGGGTTACCTTGTCATAGAAGGAAATCAGGTTTGATAAGCAGGGCTTTCCTCTCATGAAGCTTTGCTGGCTGTGACCAATGAGTGCATTGTCCTTCAGGTGTTTTTCAGTACCTCCCAGAATAATCTTCTCCATAACTTTACCAGTCACTGAAGTGAGACTGAGAGGTGTTAGAGACTGGATTTGCATCTCACTGAGTTGTTTGATTGATGGGTTGAATCAACCATCTTGTTTCTCTGTGTGTGTTGGGGGAGGGGCTGTGGTCAGGGCTGCAGCCTCATGGCAGAAAGGCACATGGTAAGGCCTGCAACCAACATGGTAGATTGCACAGAGTGCACATGGCCCAGGAACCATGTGGCTGGGCTGTTAATCAAGGAAGGCCTGCCTGGTATTCGGCCCACACCACGCCCCTGGAGCCTCTCATTGGCTGCATCACCCTTCACTTTGGCTAGGAGGGCACTGAGGGGTCAGTGAACCAAATGTTTGCCAGCTTCCAGTCAGCTGGCACCTCTCCAGATTCCAGGAGGGCATCTTTCCAAGTTGGCTCCCTTAGGACCTGTTCCATGAAGTTGTCATCCAGGTTTTTTAGGAATCTTCTAGCCCAGGAACTTGTATACTCACATTCTTTTTTTTTTTTTTAACTGGTGCACTGAGGGAACCCACTTCAGAAATTCTCATTTTGGAGAGAATTTCATTCTTATTGGAATGAAAGATCAGAAGTCTTTCACTTGCATTGAGTTCCAATGCTATAGCTGCAAGACAGATCTATTCAGGCAGTAGCAGGTGAGCCAGCATGTGTGATGTGATGTTACTTGAAGAGCATTTTGCTGTCTAGAATAAACTACCGAGGGAAAAAAAAAACAAACTAAGCCTCACCTTCTCTTTGTTCTTATCTTTTGGTAGAAAGTGAACATCCTTTTCCCAGGATTTTTGCTCTGTAGTGCTGACTTT